AGGGCGGCAGTCCCGCCCTAGGCTGCTCGACTTGGGTTCACCCTGGGTCGGTCCTCAATTGGACTGGTCCGTCCCGGGCCTACTGCTCCCATCCCCACGGGAGTGTTTCCGCACCCGCGCCACTCGCACTTTATTATTATAAAGTACATATAAATTTAAGTCATATCACGTCCTAGTGTGAAATAGCATATTACTTAGTCGATCTGTAGCCCCTCCACTGGGGCCCCTCCTCTTCTTCCTGGCACCGGAATACTCTCTGCGGGATCTCATCCGTTCAATTTATCTCGTCAAAATCTTCCAAGCAGCAGAAGCTCTTCCAACAGATTCTCCTTTTAAAGACCTTCTTCATTGGAATTCTCCTATCTTACAACAAGAACAATAGTGGCAAGCAACAACAACATCATTAGTTGCAAACTTTTCTTCTTTCCAATGATAGTCATTCCTCGACCCACAAAATCAGCAGTCAACACCTTTCCTGCAACTAGCAACGTCCCAAAATACGCATACGTTTTATGATCAAGTACGGGATGAAGACATCAATTTATACTTTGGAGGTTAATTTTGAATCTTAGACCAAGAATTGTGTTCAGAAGACTTATGAACTCCTGAAAAAACTCCTTGGAGGTAATTCAAAACAACACAACAACCTCATGACACACCAAGATAATATATCATTTTTCCATCTTACCAGTAATATGAGATTTAGAACTTAAATCATAGATTTAGGAGCCTCTGATCATATGATCGAAGATACCAATGCTTCAGTAATAATATATCATTTTTCCATCTTACCAGTAAAATGAGATTTAGAACTTAAATCATAGATTTAGGAGTCTCTGATCATATGATCGAAGATACCAATGCTTCAGTCAACCATCAAGAAGCTTCTATATCTAGATCGGTCAGACATGTAGATGGATCACATAAAAAAAACTACTAAACAAAGATGTTAAGCTCTCTCAAGATATTACTCTTTATTTAATTGCATGTGCAACAATTTAACTGTAACTGTAATTTTATTTTCAATCAGTAAACTTAGTCATGATATGAAAGTTATAACTAAATTTCTTGCAGACTCTTGTGAATTTCAGGTGATTGACAGTGCTGAAATTCATTTAGGCTTATACCTGCTCAAGAAAAATCTCTATAAAAATACAAATGATCTCACCTCTATTTTTACCTCAAATTTCCGAGTTTGTTGAGGCTCTATGTTAGAAAAATAGGTCATGTTATGGCATTGTCTCCTGGGTCATCCTAATTTCAATTATGTTGCAAAGTTATATTCTCATTTGTTTTTAAAAAATTATAATTTTTATTAATGAGAGATTTGTCAACTTATCAAACACACTAAAAATAGTTATCCCACGACATAGTACAAATTTTCACACCCTTTTTCAATTATCCACGATGATATTTAGGAACCTTCAAATGTGAAAATCCTAAGTTGGGCTAGATGGTTTGTCTCATTATCGATACTACTAGAACTACTTGGGTATTTCTATTGAAGGAGAAATCTGAAACATCACAAATCTTCCATGACAAGATTCAAACTCAATTTCAATGAAAAATTCATATCCTTAAAATTGATAATGCAAAAGAATAATTCAAATCCCTCCTTGAGTCCTTTCTTTTAAAAAATAAATTCATTCATAAGTTTATATATTGATACCAATAACAAAATGAGATTTTTAAGAGAAATAACATGCATCTCCTTAAGGTATCCTACTGAATTATAATTTTCCATCAAATTCCAAAATATTTTTGGGGGGAAGCAGCTCTTACCGCAACATAGCTTATCAATTGAATGACTAGCAGGGTACTTAAATTCAAAATTCATCTTCATATTTTGATGGTTACCTATCCTCACATCAGAGCTTTCTCTTCTAAAATATCAGTTAAAATCTTAGGTGCATTTCCTTTGTTCACATTCATTCTTAAAATTGCACAAAACTTGACCCTAAATATAGAAGCATTATTTTCTCGAATATTCCTCCAACAAATATGGGTATAACTACTACTCTCCTGTTGCCAAAAAATACAACTCCATAGATATCATATCTTCTAAAGACAATCCTACTACCCTAAATCTAGGAGGCGAGTACAAATGAACATCAATTTTAAGATGCACTTGATGACACCTACATGTGGTGTATATCCTTTGTTCACATTCATTCTTCAAATTACACAAAATCTTACCCTAAATATAGCAAGTGTGTTTTCTTGAATATTCCTCCAACAAATGTGGGTCTAAGTGCTACTCTCCTATTACCAGAAATACAATTTCATGGATCACATTTTTTAAAATCAATCCTACTACCTCAAGTTTGATGCTCAGAAGACGAGTACAAATGAACATAAATTTTGAGATGCGCTTGATGACACCTACACGGCCTTACTACCTACTATAACTAGCCCTCTTATCCTGGTTGAGGTTGTCCAACCAACACAACAAACCCAACCTGAAGACTATAACAAAAAACTTCGTGTGTACATGAGGAAGAAAAATTTGGAGCAGGTAAAAAACAACTTGCATTTATTTGAAATTTAGGGTCAGGAGTCTCGTACTGATGAGTTATCCCCTTCTGCTAATTTTGTTGACAAGGAAAGATGCATTAGATATCCAATTCAAGAGTTTGTAATTTATGGGAAACAATCCTCATCCTAGAAGGTTTTTTATTCCAGCATTAATAATGTGGATTCATAAATCCATTCATGAAGCACTTGAAAATTCAGAATGGAGGAAAACAGTCGAAGAGGAGATTCGAGCACGAAAGCATAACGACAAATGAATTTTTACTAACCTTTTAAGGATAAAATGTTAGTTGGATACAAATGGGTGTTCAATATCAACTGCAAAGCTGATGCGAGTATTAAGAGATATGAAGCCAGACTAGTTGCAAAAGCTTTCAGTCAAGCCTATGAAATTGACTAACATGAGACCTTTGCACCAATTGTCAGACTAAATGCTATCAGAGTTCCCCTTTCAATAGTTGTTATCAAGAAATGGGGGATTCCATCAACTTTACATAAAGAATTTCTTCCTAAATGAGGATCTGGAAGAAGAAATGTTATAGAAATACCATGAAAATGATTTCAACAAACACCTAGTATGTAAACTCATGAAGTCTCTCTATGGACTTAAGCAATCACCAAGAATTGGTTTGAAGATTTGCTAAAACTATGAGATCTAATGGATATTCTCAATGTCAAATTTGTCATGCTATGTTTATAAAACACAAGAGAGAGGTAAGAATGATGCAGTGATAGTATATGTGAATGATATGATTCTTAGTGGTGACGATGAAGGGAGATTTTCAAGACAAAAAAGTATTTGCGCTTAATTTGAAATCAAGGACCTAGAAATCATGAGATATTTTCAAGATATGGAGATAGCAAGGTCAAAATACATTATTATATCACAGAAGAAATGCATCCTAGATCTATTAATGGATAAATGGATGATTGGATGCAAGTCTACTGACACTCAAATGGATCCCAACAAGATATATAATAGGGAGAAGAAAATGTATCAATGGATAAGGGAAAACATCAAAGTTTGGTTGGAAAACTCATCTACATATCACATACAAGGCTAGATATTGCATACTCGGTCAGAATTATGAGACAACATATGAATAACCCAAATGAAGAGCATTTAGAGATAGTGTACAAGCTTATGAGGTTTCTCAATAAAACTCCTAGTTATGGATTACTTTTTGAGAAAACTAAAAATGAAGAAGTGGAAGGCTACACTAATACAAGTTGGGTTGAGAAACTCACTAATAAAAGGTCCACCAAAGATTATTACTCTTATGTATGAGGAAATCTGATTACTTGGAGAAGTAAGAAGCAAGTTGTTGCTTCTAGAAGTAGTGTTGAGTCCTGTGAAGAGATATGGATTAAAAATATATTTAAGGAATTAGAGTGCACCTTCAATAGGCCTATACAAATGTTTTGTGATAGTCAAATAACCATCGATTTTGACAAGAATCCAATGCATCATGATAGGACCAAACATATTGAACTTGATAGTCACTTTATCTGTAAAAAAGTTAATGGTGGAATTATACAGCTAAGTTACATCCCAACATACTAACAAGTTGTTGATGTCTTCACCAAAGCTCTTCCTTTAAGTACCTTCTTAGAGTTCAATGTCAAGCTTGGTTCTACAACAACTATGACCCAGCTTGAGGGGGAGTGCAAAAACTGAGAAGTTCAGCTCTCTCCATGGTAAGCCAGTCGATTGCTTCACAAAATCATGGAAAGATTTGAATGGGGATATCATCGAAAACACCTTTCTTAATTTTATTCCCTTCCTCTTTCATATTTCTTTATTTTCTATTTCAAAATTATTTCCTTTTCTAATATAGACTAAATATATTTAGTAATTTTGTAAACGAGGAGGGATTGGTTTCACTAAATTTATGTACCTTACATGTGAATAATGAAGTGAAATAATTTTTCCTTCCCAAGAAATTTCTACAATTGGCACAGAATGTCCTAAATTCATTGCTCACTTACTAGATGAGCGATGCATTTAAAATGCCAAGTTGTAAAAATAATGCCTCATATATAGATAATAGCTCAAAATATTGGTGTGAGATAAGAGTGATGAAATTCATAGGACTTCATTCACATATTCACATTTTGCTCAAAATGTCAAAATACCCTGAAGAAAACTTCTTTCTATCAATTTTTGTCCAAGAAATGGTAAAATTGATGGTTGGAATCAATTAGTTTAGATTTGATGAGTTGAAAAATTAAATTAAACATCCAGAAAAATCTGAGATCAGCACAAACAGCTCTATAAGATTTAAGGATCGTTTTGGTCATCCACTCATAAATACAGCTCTACTGTTCACAATCTAAGTTGTAGGACATGATTGATTGCATTACTATAGCAAACATTTTAAACACATTACGAAAAGGAAAAAAAAAAATTATAGTCTCTATAAGTGTGGGAGATTGTATAATTGCTTGTTAAATTTCTCTTCACTCACCAAATTCTTACTTGAAATACTGCTCATACATGGAGCTTCACTTATGTACTCTTCCATTGTTGCAAGAAATGATGGAGGTGGCTGCAAATAATATAATCCGACAACTATGAATAAATACTGTACATGCAATATCTCAAAACTCAAAAAAGAAGACAAAATATAAGTAATTAATAAAGGACCTGTCTTAGAGTGGGAAATTGAAAATTTCTAGCCAGTTCCAAGTTTTTACAGTAGTCATAGAACTCGGAAAGATTTTCTGCCTGTTAAAGAGTTGATTAGCCGATGAGTATGCTTTATAAAATTATTAAAAAATAAACACCAAACCTGAAACATTGTCACGAAATAGCTTTCAACTTTAGAAGCAATATTTTTTACCTGTTGACCAGCTATTTTATACACCTCCAGTGCTTTAATGGCATCATATTTTGACATCTCAAAGAACTGCATAAATTTAGAAGTCCAGTTGTAGAATAAAGAGCTAAATCTTCAATGCAATTCAAGAAGCATATAACAAGTTAAATTAATAAACCACCATACCATATCAACAAGATTAATGATCCCGTCATTAACGGCACAATAGATTTTGAAACTCTCTTTTATAACCTAAAAAGTCAATATAAAATGAAAAAAGCTTTCGAGGTATACAAATAAAATTGCAGCTGAAATATGGAATAGTATTATCCTAATAAACTTGAAAATTCCTGCAACAGGTATTACAAGTCTAGATGACAAGGAGGCCATAAAATACTATAACATTAAAATAAATAAATAAAATAAAAATAAATAAATAAAAAAAAATTCTTGCATGTGATCAATGAAATGGATCAAAAATCTTCACACATAAATAATTACAAACATGTTGAAGTTAGCATACCTAAGACTATATGACTTGTAGTGCGAAACTTTATAATATCTGAAGTTCTGTTTCAAAACTCCTGTTTTTTTTTTTTGTTTTCATTAAAGTTTTTTCAATGTTTATGCATCATTTTGTAGCTAGAAGTTAGCAAATTTGCCTTAAAAAATCATGAATTTAATTAGATAATTTTCAATACGAATTTTGAAGCCTACAAGTAGTATCAAAGTCTTTAAAAATTTTTTATTTAAATTTAACAAAATCACCAATTTATAAAATTTATTTTCCTTCTACAATCAACCAGATGAAGAACCCATAGCGTTTATTGCATATTAGAAAATCACACGAGCCACATCATCAAGACTTATCACAAACCGAAATAATCTTTAAAAGCATGCTTGAAACCAATATTCAGCGTTATTACAAGAATTTGTAGCTGTAACGTGTACAGCTCTCGAGCATAAAACATACCAATGCCAACGCATATTGTATGAGATTGTTTCCAAATGCTGCTCCTTCTGGCTATAAAACAATCGAAATAGATTTTGTTGGATAAAAATGCAATTATAACCAATAGTGTGTAAAGGCTAAGTTATTATACTTCTTTTTACAGCAAGAATCACAACCTGGCATCCTACTAGCCGACGAAGTAATTGTTGTATGGCGGGCATTTGCTCTAGCAGGTCCGGACAAGATAAAGTTCTAGTTCTACTGTGGCCCTGCAAGGTTTCCAACTTAAAGCTTCAGGCAGTAGAACACGTCATGTTAATAAAATTAACTTGTGATATCTATATCCACACACACACACGCACACGGTACCTTGGAAGCACCTTGTACATTTTTTAACAAACGCTCTGCTTCGATGTCATATTTTAAAATTCCGAAGCATTCAAGTCTTTCAGCTAGAAAGAGTGCATATGTTCGAACCCATGCAGAGCAATCCCAAGCTAACAAAAAAAAAAATCAAGGCTATATGATTCTGTGAATAAATGGTAAAATTTTTGCACGTTTGCTTTGCAAAATAGCATTTACATTTAGATAGAACATGAGTAAGAAGTTCACTTATTTTCTAGTTTCAACACAAATTGATATCTAATAATTTAATCGAGTAAAAAATGTTTATACCATAGTTTAAATTGTAAAAGTAAATAGAAATCTCACAGATTTATCTCGCAAAATAAAACAGCTATTATGTGAAAGTATTTTGTTTGTATTTTATTTTGCTAATGATTAACCATTTCTGTACAATCTTTTAAGAAAATATGTACCGAAAGGACTAGAGTCGTCCTTGAAATTGGACATTTGTAAAATTTGTCCCCTCTGTGAATGTTTCAAGAGCTCCTCTTTAAATGAAGGGTCACCTTCTCGTAAGAGTCTGTGAATCACAATCAAAGCTTTGACTGCAACCTGTGAAATTTCATCAACTTTCATTTAAATAGCTAGAATGAAATGTAAAGCGGAAATGGAGAAGCCAATCTAGAAGCAATTTTAAGTGCAAAACTGACTTACGAGAACCTTTTGGGGAAAAAAAAATTTCTACCAAGTTTCTACTATTTTGATTTATTAAATAGTGAAGAAGGCTCATTTCACTTCGTAATTATAGTTTAGTTATAAATATAAGACCTAATCTAATAAGAATAAATAGAAAATTGAACTATATATGTAGGCTAAACTTGAAAAAAAAAATCTAACATTGCTTACATAATTATTATAGAAACCCTACTATTCATCTTTTATTTCTTATAGTGATGATGTTTTTCATTTAAGAAAAAATTTATCATATTTATTATCGTCCTTAACAATAATTTCCTATTTATTGTTTTCAAGACTAATCAGGTTCTTGTCCATAACATTCATTATTTTTTTTATATGGGAGTAAGAATTAAACATGAATTAAAGTTGGGTTGGATAGATCAGCTAGGGGTTAGGGATGATATCAAACCAAGTTTGAGGGAGTTTGTCGCACTCAAAATCAAAACATAAGACAACCAATTGAAACCATTTTGAGCCAAGCTGACTTAACTAGAAATAATTTGATTCCAAGTTTACTCAAAATGAACGTCCTAATTTGAGTAAATTTGAGCCTTTTTCTAGCAACTTTTAAGCTTTTCAAACTAGACTACTAGTGTTTAAGCACGTTTTCATCCCAAGAGATTAAGTATATGAGCAAGAGTCAACCACTTAGTATCTTTATATCCATATATGTTTTAAATATTTAGCATAAAATTAAAACAAATGCACTCACATACTACACTAATCTCCACTCATGTGAAAGCTATTCATATTAGCATCAATACTTCGCCTTCTAATAAAAGATTTAAAACACCATCAAATATCATACAATAAGACTTCACTCTATCACGGAATAATTGCCTATGAGTCACCAAGACTTCAAATTTCTCAACCATGCTAGAAAGCAAAAAAGACCCATAAAAGACATAAATTGCATGGAACACTTGATACCAACTAAATAGAAAAGCTTATGTCTACAAAAAAAGGCCAACAATCTAGTATTCTACACCAACATACATACATGCACATGCATGCATGCATGCAAGACATACATATACATCCATCCATCCACACATACATACATACATACACACATACGTACATACATACACACAGACACACATACACACATACATGCACACATACACACATACACACATACACACACACACATACACACACACACATACACACATACACACATACGCACACATACGTACATACGTATGTACATACACACGTACATACACACACACGCATACATATGTACCTATGTACACACACACACATACAGACACCTACATACACGAGCACAGGCGCTCACGCGAGCACACACACACATACGAGAGGACCAAGAAAGGTAAATGTGTTGGGAAAGGCAAATGCCCCAAAAGGATCAGGCTACTTCCATACCTAAGAAATGTCTGAAGGAACCCAAGTCTTTCATCTTAAAAGACTTGGCAAGAATGCCTTTGAGGGACTCCAAGGCAGATCGTTACCTGTGAGCACAATGTCGTCGACTTAGACGATAAAGATGGCAATACAACCACTGGATGAATAACAGAAATAGCATATGAGAAGATTGGACATGACAGAACCTATGGCCCACTACCACTTGCGTAAACTTGTCGAACCAAGCCCGTGGGGACTGTTTTAGTCCATAGAGGGATTTTCATAATTGCCACACTTGTCCACGAGAAGAAGTCGAGTCAAATCTATATAACTGAAAATAAATAAATAAATATTAAATAATGATGATAATAGCAAATCGAATAGACACTAAGATAAGCATCATTTCAGTTACAACATAAAAGTCACATTCACACCCATTGCACCCATCAAAATAGACGAGCAAACGAGTGAAGTAGAGGGAACATGAGAAACTGGGGAAGAAGAAGAAAGGAGGAGGAGAAGAAGGAAAAGGGGCAGAGAAGGGTACGATTACCTTGTCGTGTAAAGCCGGCAGTGTCGTGAACGGGAGCAGTCGGGAGGATTTTGTGCCTAGCTATTCGACAGCGAGGGAGGTTGTGGTTTAGTGTACAATTATCTTGTGAATAAGTGGAGGAAGAAGAAGGCAGAGGCGAGGAAAGTGTGTAGTACTGTGCCCTTGCCATGTAAAGGAGAAGGAAGAAGAAAGCTGTAGAGGTGGGTTGAGTCACAACCAAACGGCAGAGGAGAAAGAAGAGCAACGTCATGCTCGTGTGTGGTGGAAGAAGAAGTCGTAATGTGGAAGAAGAAGAAGATGAAAGAGAAGGTGTTCGTGCAGTTCTGTGTTGGAGGAAGTACCAAAGGTATTAAAAGTATATCAAGGTTTTCTTATGTTATTTCATTATATATATAATATTACAAATGTGTGTGTGTAAATATGAGTTTAATTAGATAATGTGTTAATAGAAAGTTACTTGAATAGGATAGAAGCTATTAAGTCCCAATTGAAAAGTGTGAGGTGACCTAAACTTCCATTACGAGTGAAAAGGATGAGTCGCAGGCGTGAAGTGGAGAACCAAAGCCAACGGAACTCTAATTTGTGAGTTAAGGGATTTTAACGAGGAAGTTAAGACAGAGGAATAAGTGGAAATTCAAGAATAAAGTTTGATTTGTAATAATTAATTGTTATTTCCCTAATTAATGAATGTTAAAATGAAATAAGGACTTTAAATTTAAAATTGATTTAGAATAACAAATAGTTAATTAAATAGAGAAATGATGAAAATAATAATAGGAAGTCTAGAATTAATAGGAAAGAAGATTAGCCCTGAACAGAAGCTAATTATATTTTAATTGTTATTATAGGTCCACAAAAAAAGATTAAATTGGATTGATGAAAAGGAGAATTTGACTACAGTTTTGAGGCGGATAAATGTGATTTATTTTACAATAGTTATGTTTATTTATTATTTCTCAGCTTTTACATTAAATGCAAAAGTACATGTTTTCTTTTAAATGTTAAACGCAAGTAAAATGAATAAAATGTGATATATGCATATGCATATGGGAGTCATCTCTAAATGGCACTGCTAGAGAAATGCAATATACACATGCACGAAAATGAAAATAGAAACGAAAATCACTGAATGTATATATATTTTTTAAAAGTATATGTTTATACGACGACTCCCAATAATGAAAAGTGTAACGTAAAAGAATGAAAAAAAATGAAAATATTTTATTTACTATTTTAATTTACCGCAAAGTTGTTTTATTTACGGTTTGTCGCAATTTTATAAAATAATTTAAAACAAAAATTATTGTAATTTAAAATCATTTGCCCACTGAGTAATTTAACTCAGCTCATAAGTATTTAACATTTTTACAAGAAAACAAGTTATAGACTAGTTGGATCCTAGAGATTTTATGCACAGGCGTCGTAGAACGCGGGATGGTAGGTATTATAGTTCAACTTTATTATTATGTTAGATGTACAATCTTAAATATAAATCAATTGTTGTAAATAAAAATAAGTTTTATGAATTAGAATGGCCCTTTTGTGCTTTGGTGAATTTTATGTAATATTGAAATGAAATTGAATAAGTTGAGGAGGCTTTAAAGAAAACCAAGGGTGGAAAGTCGGTAGGACCTGATGATATCCCAATTGAAGTGTGGAATTTATTAAGAAATTTGGGAGTTTCTTAGCTTACTAAACTCTTTAATATTATTTTAAAAACTAAAATGATGTCTTAGGAGTGGAGGAAGAGTTTTTTGGTCCCCATTTTTAAGAATAAAGAGGATGCACAAGAGTGTGCAAATTATAGAGGAATTA